AACTTGATTATTTCAAATTGCACATGTGTTCTTGTGTCACAGATTGTTGACACTATATCTGTCTCTATGCTTCTCCTTCCTCCTGCATCTCCCTCTATCCCACTTATCAAGCCTGACAAGGTTTCAGCAGACGGCTGTTCATCATGAGTCTTCTTCTGCTTGAGGCTTCTACCTCTTGGGGCGGCAGTAGCTCAGTCTTTAGGGACCAGGGTTGGGAACTGGAAGGTGCTCAAGTGTAAAAACAAATTTCCCCTCACAGGAATAATAAATTATTATTATTATTAAAGTAAATGTTTTTCCTCTCCACTGTAACTTTGTTACAGTGTTGCTTAGTGCTCATGATGGATTAATGTTGGGCTTTTAAGTAAAGTCTTTTACCTGCTCTTTTGTGAAGTGTCTTGAGACAACATTTGTTATTAATTGGTGCTATAGAACAAAGATCGATTGACTGATATTTGGTTTTTCTTGTAAGATCTTGTGCTTTCAAGATAAAAATATTGTAATTCTCAAATCATTTTCCACTGGAATTTGTGTTCAGTTATGATTGTGCACAGTTTTTTTTCTGAGGCTCTAAACAGGCCTCTGCTGAATGATATGCATTTTTCACCTCTTTGTAACTAATCTGAATTTGAGAAAAAGACGACTTTACACGGCAGTGTAAATGAGGAATGTCATCTTTTGTTGTCTGCTGACCTTCAAAAGCAAATTTGTAGAGCTCTCAGTCAGGTCATTGACCATCACTCCCTGCCCATTGGTTTCCCTCAGCCAGGCCACCCTCTCGATGAAGTCTGATACCACTTGGTTGATGTGTTGGCATAGGACGAGACGTGTTTGGGCTTCAACATGCGAGGATTCAGGATGCTGCGGATGCGCAGCCACTTTGCACCCATTCTGCAAAGCAGGATTAATGATTAGGATTGTCTCCATCTCAGAATCAATCAGAATACTTTATTAATCCCTGGGGGTCATTCAGGCCTCACAGTTGCTTTTATACAGTTGCATTGAAAATGTGGGAAAACCTCAGTGTCCCTTCGAGAATAAATAAAGGTTTGAAGATACACAATAGAGAAGTAGGACTTTAACTTGTAAGAAACTCGTAGAGATTAAAAATCTCTTTTTTCAAGAGCGTACTGGCACGATTTACAAAGTTTCACACAAACAACGAGCAGCCACACGTACAAACACAAAAAAAATGTACATTATTAGACATTAAAAGACACAAATAACAAATGTAAATAATAAATGTTTGTCAAGATCGTCCACAAACACATCATGGAGAACATCTACAGCTGCCTCAAGTCATTTAACATCCTCTTAAAAGGTTTCGGCTCTTTTTGTAATTCGCTCCAAGTAAAGGAGCAGTAAACCTTTTTTCCTTTTTTTCAGTTCTGACTTTTGGAACGGACAGTAAGAAAAGGTCCTGAGATCGTAGATTGTAAGTCCCTGTACTCTTCTGACTGACGAAGGTCAGAAGGTATGAAGGAAGCAGACTAATATAACTAATGAAAGAAATAAAGCAATAAGTATGACAAGTGCAGGGTATTGAAGAAATAAAGCCACATAAACAATGAACAAACTCTTATTTTCCGTAAGGATGACACTTTATTTCAGTCCCCGAAATCCAAAGGGACCAAAGCCAGCCCTGAATTGATCCGATACAAGTACACGGTCACATGATGCTAATTCCTGGCATTAGCTTCTTGTGAAGCCTTTGTGGATTTGCCAACACTTTCAAACATTCGACCCACTCTAGAGGGATCTGTCACAGAAAGTAATGACAGGCCCGGAGTAACGGTAAAAGGGGTTTCAATGTACATCAGTTTATTATTTTAAAATGTGATCCCATCCATTAGTATCAAATCCATGGTTATGTTAAAGGGTGCATTGTGTTCATTTAATACTTGTGTTTAGTGTTTTTTTCCTCTGTATCCGCAAATTGAGTTTCTGTAATGATTTAGAATCATGTTTAATTTGAATCATAGAAAGTCTGTTTATAATACAGCTTTTTATCACATATCACAAGTAATCCTCAAGTGGAAAGAGGTGTTGTTAGCTGGACAGTTTTAACCTACACAGCACAACACCCACTACCCCCCCTCCGTCCTAAATGCTCAACTTTTCATTTGATTGAACTGAAATCAGTGACTTGCACCATGTGGGCAAAATAAACATTAAAGTCACAACAGATTAGGGATTCAAAGTCCACTTACTAACTGACTGTATGTATATTGTCGACACATAAAAGCACCACAAATGAGGGAGACAGACAAAATGTCATTCTTGTGCAGGTGTGCTTGCTACTTTTTAACAACCATGACTTTAACTTATTTTTTTAGTTAAAGATTTAATTTATGGCTGGGACAGCGGATAGAGTTGAAATAAGGGCGAGTGAGTGCGGAATGACGTGCAGGAAATGAACCACAGGTCGGACCTGAACCCGCCTGGAGGTCTAAACCCTTCATACATGTGTTACGCTACCTGCGCCCCGATTACTTTTACCTCTGCACATTACATTGCAGGGAAACGTCTTACTCAGAAATCAAGATTGTATTTGAAAGAATATTGGTTTTCTTGTCTTTTTAAACAGTAGATAACAGCATGACAACTTCCAAGGGTGCAGAATGGATTGGGGAAATTAGACATAAAGCTAAATGGTGAATGGGGGTTTCACTCACTCTGTCAGGGGTCCATAGGCCTGGTTCCTGAGCTCTCTGTAGGTCCTCCAGTGGGGCATGTCCGAGCGCACTGGATGTCTGCCCTCCTGCCTCAACACCTGCTCTATGAAGTTGGCACTGGCAACGTTCACAAGGATAATAGGGCCATACTTCGACTTCCACAAAGGACCGTAGATCTTTTTGTGCTCAATCTGGGAGCAAAAATAAACAAACAGGTGTGTACTGAAACAGCAAAACACTTGATTTTTAATAATGCAACCTGTTGGCAACTGGAATCAGAAAACAATCAACACTGTCACCTGGAAAACTGATGTGTAATTCAAGCTTTTGAGGTCGGGTCACCCAACTCAAACTAAAATATTTCTCAACTACGTCTATTGTATCTCAAATGATCTTTATTGATTGAACTTTTACTATATACAAGAAAGCTGTGAAGAAAGGGCACCCCACTGAAAGGACACCCTGGAGAACACTTCATTACATTCTGTTGATCACTAGGCCTGATCACATTTGATCTTATTGTAGGGCAACTTAGAGGGCACTCCTGCAGTGTTTCTTTGTCCAACATCCAAGCAAGAGCATCTGTGTTGAAGGGATGGCATTGTATTTAATACTCAAAAAAAAAGCCAAAGATGGGTAACTGCACACACAGGGGACCAAGCCAACATTCCTCTGCTTCAAGTGACTGTTTACATTTTATGGACTTTATGGACTTTATGGATTTCATAAACTAGCACGGAAAAAAACACTTTTCACAGAGAACGATCCCCAAGTACAACAAAGGACAGAAAAAAAAAACTGCAAAGAGAAGAAGACAAAAACTACAAGACAACAATGGACATAATGACCACAAGGAGACAACATGATGACAACAACCAAGAGACACAAAAACGACAACCAGGAAACAAATGTGCTCAAGGAGACAGAGGGAAACAGGGTGGAAACAAAAACAGGCATGCAAAATAAACAGAAATACTACAAGAAAAAAGACTGCAAACAAATAAGACACAAGAAAACCAAAAAGAGGAACGACAACAACAATGAAGCAATTACTGAACTACAGCCAAGCACAACTTTGAATATAAACAGAATCACAAAATCACTTGAATTGACACTAACAGCGCATTTTTCTCCACTTTAGGGTTGGTTCCTTTTACATTTCCTGGCCCAGGGAGTCTCATAATCCACTATTATCTATAGTCCTATGAGACTGACCTGTGTCCCACTTAGCTGAGAGAACAAGAGTGCAACTTTATGCTACAGAGAATGTCAGTGAGTGAAAGGACGTGATTTTAAATGGGCTGTCAGATGTGCAAACAGAGGTAACCTCCATTGTACTGGGGTCAGTCAGTTCATCTCAAGACGCAAAAAAACAATGCACACAAACCCAAAACGGTGTATTGACACATAACGTAGGTTATCTGGGTGAACAGATAATTTATTCTGCAGTCAGTTTGCATGCACTGAAAGTCAATGCAGAAATCTGTGTTAGAGATAAGAAAAAAAACAACTGAAAAAACCTGCAGTAGCGCACTATCTGTCAAAATGTAGGAGAAACAGGTCACAACACATCCTGTGTGTACGTCAGCCCCCCCCCCAATCACACCCCACTTACCTGCATTTGTTGCGTCGTTTGGAAATACCCCTTTACAAACAGCCAGTTTAAGGTGGCCATAAAACTTGGTCCGCCTAGATCGTCCATAGTTTTCGGTTTGACGTTGGCACCCATCACGGCGGCGGAAGATGCGTCCAGGCGGTGAATGTCTCCATAATTAACGGTGACTCTCTGAAGCCCGTGACACCGCTCACGGTTCCTCCGCAGTCCAAAATGTAGAAGCGATTTCCTGAACATTTTACCCGCAGACCAACGCAGTCTGTTTCTCTCCGCAAGCCGTGCAGTCCCGGTGAGCGGCTCCGTGATGCGCAGGCTGATGATAATGGCTGATTGTGTTCGCAGCACAGCGTCTATTTATAGCCCCCGCATATCCAAAAGCTACGTGCAAAACGATGAACTTCGTACCCTTCTGAACTTCCTCAGAGAGGCAACAAGAGTCATAAACACATTAACTAATGCTGCTGAAAACAGTCAACTGTTCACCCCCTCTAACCGGTTTCCTGTGTGGACTTGTCTTGCCTTGTACTTGAACCTTCATCTTGTGTTTTGTTTTTTTTGTTGTTGTTGCCTTATTTTCAATATTATTGATCTACTTCTTTTGGGAACGTTTTTCATAATAAAAGTTTTATTATCAGAACAAAGCGGAATTTGTTTAAACATCAAAGAGTACAATGATCCTACAGTGGGTTTCATTTTAAACTTTCAGAACAGAATAAGAGGCTGCTCTCTGTTTTATAATTCATAGATGCTGACTGTTTTTTGTTTTTTTTTAAGGCTATCTCAAGCTGTCAGTGAAACTTTGAACTTTGACTTCCATTCTTACAGTAATTCAAGTTACAAAATTCACAAGATCCATACAGATCCACAAAATATTAACCCGCTGTGTGATGAATAGTTCAATCCAAGTCTGTTTTATGTTTTATCTTCAATGAGTTTATGTAACTTAGCAGGATGTGAATCAAATTGCCCTCCCAGGATAAATTAAGTTGTCTCAATCTGAATTTAGAACATTTATGAACAATATATGGATCACTTTGTCTTTGAGATTTAAGTGTTATTACAGCCTGAACAGTGTTGAATTTTTACTTTATCAAAATGTGCTAAGTTAACAAACAAATGCTACATCATTAGGCGTTATACGTATGCATGTGTGACATGTGGGGAAGGAGCCTCAGGTCGGATTTGAACCTGGGCCACCCGCTCTCAAGTACTTCAGCCTCTGTGTGGGGTGCTAGGCTAACGGTGCACCCTGTTCCCCTTAATCTTTGCCTTTATTTTAGGGATAGGGCAGTGGATAGTCAGAAATCGGGGCGAGAAGGTGGGGATAGACATGCTGAAAAGAGCCACAGGTCAGACCCAAACCCAAGCCACCCGCCTGAAAGACCACGCCTTGGTACATGCGGCACGCACTAACCACTATAGGCTACCGGCACCCCCCTGTTCCCTTCGACCTTAATCTCCATCCAAGTATTATTTTTGATAATCATACATAATTTCTCTTATTTTAAAGCAGTAGATTGCATTTCATTATTATGTTGTGTGAACAGATAGGTAATCTATCATTTTTGGTTTTACATGATGTTAATAATAAACTGAAAGAAGTCAACAACAAAAAATAAACTCAACATAGTTACATAAGTGAATAATGAATGGAACTGCAAAAAAAAACAACCATTAAAATCTTTATTTTTCCACAAAGAAATGACTCCCAAATAGTTTACAAATAATGCTCTGAGGCCACCATCCTTCTTAAGACTACAAATATTCACTTTTTCTAAATCAGATTTCTTCTTCTCACTGTGTTATTCAGCCAGGACTCCAAAGACAGAAAAGGCTGGGACAGAAACAGCAGCTTCCTGTATGCATAGGCAGCTCAGCAGAGAGAAGAGGGCTTGTGTTAAAACAAGCAGAGAGCCTGAAGGCACATCAAGTTTTTTTTTAAGACTCACATTGAAGTATCAAAACATCTGGCTTGTTTTGTAATACAGCTTCTACTAACTTGCAATTCCAATTTCTTTGCTTTCAAGATCTTCACCGAATATATTAAGCGATTCGCCGTTGGTCGAATATATTTTAAACATAAATAATTAGATTCAAGTATTGCAGGTTTAAAGCTACAAAGCATGACCCCAACTGAGAGAACTCAGAATGCCTACTAGTCTGCAGAAATCAGACGCCCTTATATTCTGAAATAATGCAAAACTTAAAGTTTGAGACCTCTTTTTATTCTTAAAGCTGCATTAGCCATGAACTTTCTTTTTGCAACAATGCGTAAAAATATATGCAAGGGCTCTCTTGCAGGTTTAGAGCCAGCCTTTCAACTCATAAAGCTGCTCATCAACACTTTTCCAGTCTTAAAAAGGCATCTCCACTTTGATGTGAAACAGCAGGCGGATGAAGCTTGTAAAATTAGGAAGCGTCCAGCAGCTAATGAGGCTCAGAGACTTTTTCTGAGGCGATATTAAAACAGAACTCGAGTAAATATTTCATTTGCATCTTAAGTTTGGAGGAAACGCAACCACAAAGGAGTAACAAATAAAAGCTCTCCTCTGACTTTTAGGTGTGCAAGTCAGCAACTGTTTTTTACCACTTTTGTCCTAACACATTTCTAAAGAGATCATGCATCAATGTTAAGTTTTTGGCTTGTTCTATGGTCTCCAAAATGGACAAAATGTCAATTTTAAGTTTGCAGTTTTTGAATAAATTAGCCGGGTTCCAGTAATCCGAATCAAAAGGGTCTGAAGCTAACTTCACATAAACTCTATAAGATGAAAATAAAACAATCTGTTAAATCACTGTATCACAAATATTCTGTTTCTGCTGAACCCAATCTGTTAACTGACCTGAACTAAGGCATAATTAAGCCTTTTATTATTTTATGACTAAGCTGAAATGCTAAACCTCCAAGGGTTCATTAAGACAAACCTCTGCCCCGTTTACACAACCACCTCTGTCACCCTGGCTTTGATATGCTCGGTCAGGTTAGGGTGACATCCAGTGAGGTGAAACATTACACAAAGGTTTTCAGTTTTACTGCCACTCATGCATCACATCCACATCTGTCTCTCGTGACTAAGGCATCTCTGTTACATCCAGTCTTCACACACACACACACACACACACACACACACAAAATAAAGATCATGGAGAAATAAATGGGATATAATTAAATTAGAAAGTTTGTTGTCAGAAAGGCAAACAAGGTCATAGCGAGCAGGATTGTGGAAATGAAAGTAAGACAGTCTCACATTATAGGAAGCAAAGCACTGATATGTCTGCTGCTGTTTTGACTCCTCACTGAAATCCTCAGGGTGTTCACAGGCAGGTGCACCTCCTCGTGTTGTTCAGTCACTTTCACTGCCTGATTCACTCAGCTGCAGGTCATTCTCTGAAAAAAAGCCATGAGAACACACATGTTGGTCTATTTTGTTGGTATTTTAAAAATGAAAACAAATACAATTGATGTTCGACAAAGAAATCTGTGAGCTCATGTTACTTTGCCCTGGGAGATGCCCATGGGCCTCCTCACATTCGGATAACATAGCCATGGTTGAGCCAATCACAGCAGTTTATCTCACAAAATGGGCAGGTATCAGCACACAATTCATTGTGTTGCTTGGTTGCAAATTCTGGGCCTGTTGGTAAAACCCTTTGCAAACAGAGACAAACCAAGAGACTAACTTATGTTTTAGAATTGGACTGGTGATGTGAGCTTTTTATGATTTTGTAGAAGCAAACAATATTCACATAAAATGTCATTCATGGCTGCTTTCATGATTTTATTGAACTGCCAAACTACTTCCTCATCTTTGTTCTAAGGGATCCCTATGAAAGCCTGGTTACGACTGCTTTTTAAATCTGCATACAGCTACCTGTCAGGATATTTATTTGGGTGCAGTTGGAGCCCCATGAGATAATCCCAATGCAGCAAATACTCAGATGAAGCTGAAAAGGCTACTTACTAAGTGTGTTCATCAGTCCTCCTCCACTCTCCTGGTGGAGACTGTTGGTGTTGCTGATGGTGTTGATGATAGGCATGCTGTGGTTGGCCGGGGCTGGGGCTGGCGGTGGTGCAGAAGTCCGTTCATCTTCTGAGTCGCTGCTACTGGAGCTGTCATCACTGCTGGATGAGGAGCTGTTGGAGTCTGAGGAGCTGTCGCCGCTGCTGAGCTGGTCCATGACCCGCGCCTCAGCCATCAGCTCTGAACATAGAGGCATGGATAAAAAGGTGAGGATATGGGTGACACTGGCAGGGTCACTAATCTGCCACAATTACAACAATTTAAAATGTTCAAAACATTGTGTCTGTCACCTCGCTCAATGTCATCCATGGGGGATGCCGGGGAGGTCTTCTCTTTAGGAGGAGAGCTCTTTGAGCTGGTTGAGGTCTTGTTACTGCTGCTGCTACTGCTGTTGTTGTTGTTGCTGCTGCTGCTGCTGCTGCTCTTCACCTGCTGGCTGAGGCGACTGGTTTGCTGCTCCATTCGAGAATGAATCTTACTGCTGCCCTCAGCCCTGGGAATAAACAAGCACAGTGCAAACAATCACAAGTGAAAAGGTACAATAAATGCAGTGCAAGTTGAGATAATTTCTTAAATTTTGACCCACTGCATGTCTCTTGAGCAGAGGATGTTACAAGATCACATTAACTATTCCAGCAAATCTTATTTTAATGTTGAGTAGTGTAACAGAGTCAAGTCAAATTTATTTATTTAGCGCATTTAAAACAAACTCAGTCAAGCTTAAAATCAACATTTATTTTGTTGTAGCTTTTTTATTAAAGTAAATGGAAAGAGGAATAAAGAAAATATTTTTTTAAATCTATAGTACTCTTCAATACATTTTTGAATTGAAACAATATTTCAACCAACCTGGTTTTCTTCACAGCTATATTGCTGTTGAGTTTTTCTAGTCTGTACTCTCCTGTGTCGTGGTTTACAATGAGGATGCATTCTTTCATGTATGGCCTTTTGGATCCCTTAAAGACTGTTACTGGAGCACTTGAACCCTAAGAAAATTGGAGACAAAACAGATAGAATTGTGGTTAGATTTTAGTTATTAAAATCTTAGGAAGACACGAGTCCTCTCCCATAGAGCCAGAAAATGTATTACTTGGATTTTTATTTCAACAGGATCAAGTTTTAACTCGTCAATCTCACGAAGTACCTAATTCTAAGTAGTGGTAAAAATATCAAATTACTTCTTTATTTATTTGTAGACGATGTTAGAAGTCATGCCCACATATTGAGAACATAACTAACATGCTCTTAAAAGAGAAAATTTACTTCTTAAAAGTTGGAAAGTAATACTAAAGTTGAGAACTAATGGATAAATCTACTAATTGAAGGCTCTTATTCACAGTTACATATATATATTCCTGGAGGTGAAGAAAGGAGCATCATATAT